TCTCTCCCTGGGCCTGGCTCAGGTGGCCTAACCAAGCCTCCAGCGTGGCTGCTCAGCAGGCCTCTGTCCGGGAGCTTATGGGAGCCGTTATCCTCCCCTCTGGGGAGGGCAGGGGAGATCGTGTTCCTGCGTAGGCCCTGGCTGAGCCTGCCCATCGACAGGTTCTGCAGTCACCCTGGGCCACACTTGACCTGGGTGACCCCACTGGGTTCCAGGTCCCTTTACCACTCTGAGCCCCACTTGCAAGCCTGTCGGAGTGCCTTTCTCCTGAGGCTGTCGTCAGGGTGAACCTATAAGTACTTCTCCGGAGCCCTGCCTGACCGTAGAAGACAGTTAGGATTATTCTTGCTACAGTGGCTCCCACTGCAAGGGAGAGTCTTCTCGTCCTACCTGGAGCACACTCACCCCTACTGGTGGCCGTGTGCAGAGGTGCTGGCTGACTGCTGACACCAAGTAGCACTGCTTCTCCTCCTCCTCAGGTGGGTCGTGGAGAGTGTGATGGAGCAGTAATACAGAACACAGGACACGTAGTAAAAGTGTTCCCTAATTTTTCATTCTGTGTGTGTGTACGTGCCCATACACCTGTCCTTCCCAGCGTGGAATGCGTGGTTCTCTGTCAGTCGTGGGCAGATAGGTTTGAAATACATGAACTGTTGCAGGACCTGCAGTGCACTGGGTTGGCCTTCACGTTGAAAGGCACTTTTGACCTTGAGATTTTGTGAGCACCTCTTTGCGCTGGGGGAAAGCCTTTGTTTCTGTGGGTCTCTGTTTTCCCATCTGATTGGAGAAGTGGGGCATAAGATGGAGTGTTTCCATTCTATCCCAGTCTTGCCTGGCCTCTGGTTGTAGAAGCCCAGCTGCCTGGAGGAAGGCCCCCGATAGCTCGAAATGGCCCCTCTTGGTCCTTCTGGCCTACTTCCCTCTTCTTTCTCCGTGGCTCGTAGAAGCTCACCTTCCCAAACTTCCCGGATCCAACAAAAAGTGGAGGCTACCTGTTTTCCCTAAAGTGCACCTGCTTGGGCCAGGGATGGGGCTGGAGGTTGTCCAGGTGGTGAGGCTGCTGTGGGAGGATCTTCTGAAGCAAACCTCTGACAGGTGGCCACCTGCAGTGGGCAAAGGTTCCCTTGGCCTTTTGTGGGCCAGTGGGCAGATGACGGGAAGGCTGGGTTCTCAGCAGCATGTGGTGACATCCCTGGAGAGAGGCCCTTGTCTTAGTCCTCGTCTTAGCCCTCAGTCTTCGGCCTTGGGATTTGTTGACACCAGTGCAGCCCTACTGTCTTAGCAGGTGTGGTGTGGAGACCAGAAGAGGACTGGAGACCCCCAGAGGGCTAGAGGGCCGTCTGGTGACATTGCTGGCTGAGGACTTAACCCATGACTTGGCAACATAACAGAGTTGGGTGGCCTGCAGACAGCCATCCCTTTTTTGGAATCGAGCAAAACTAGGTGCCACTCAGCCTGGTCTGAGGCCTGGATTGCTAACGTCTGCAGGTGCAGAATGAGAGCAGGGGGCTTGTCAGATGGAGCTGGCCTCCCTGCCGACGGTATTGGGCTGAGGGGTTCCCTCTGGCTGGATTTGGATTGCAGCCTAGATACCTGCCCTCGCTCTCCAAGCACGGGTCTGGCCTAGTCAGGAGGTGGGTTCTCAAAGATCCCTTCTCTCCTCCGTGCTGAGAAGGCAGATGGGTACGGCCTGCTCTTGCCCTGAGGTGGGGAGGGCCACAGCGGGGCCCTCGGTTGAATCTGCCCAGGCTCTGGGTGCAAGAGCTGTGGCTGAGTGCCGACTAGTCCGGGGCGTGGCGCTGTAGGCAGCCTCAGCAGGGTGTGGGAGCAGCCCTGAGAGAGGACGCACGGGCCGGGGCCTGGCCTTCAGTGCCCACCTAGGACAGTGAGCCGCTTGGCGGCAGCTGGCGCTGGCGCTGCTGGGGCCTCGTCCCGCACGTGGCACTCTTGAGGCTGAGAGGAGCTATTTGCACAGTGCTTGCCAAGTGCCAGCCTGGGTCAGTTTTCCGGTTCTCCCTTCTTTCCTGACGACGGTCAACTCTGCTCCCTTTTCCTCATATGTAACGGGATTAGCCAATGCCCGCCTCGCGAGTAATGTTTAAGGAGGCACAAAAGAGGGTGACACACAGGTAGTAAATAAATGGTCATTTCATGCAGCTGTTAGGTCTTTGCCTTTCTGAAAGCTCTCCTGGAAGGAGGTAGGGACCTCATTTTGCACACACAAAAAACCGAGGTCCACAGAGATGGTCGGAAGTCTTAGGGCATGGTTGGTGACGAGGTCCCATGACCGCGTTCAGCTGCAGGGTGAGCCGGGAAATCTCGTCAGTAGCTGGTCTCCGTGTGTCCGGCAAACACAGTTACTGTGCCTGAGGGAATGGTGAGCAGGTTCATGACCCCGAACCCTGGAACAGTAGTTTCTAAAGACAAGCACGTGCCTTCAGATGGCCCACTAGAGAGTATAGTGAGAAGAAAGTATTACAATCTCTGTTGGTGTGTTTTATTGTCCCCGTTTAGCTTTCCTGTGTGTATGTTGTAGTTTATAAGGCATTGGCACAGTGGCACAGGTAGATAACTTATCGTGTCCATGCATCCATGTGTCACAGGTGGGCTTACACTGGCAGCTGTGACACCCATGAGTCCCAGGCATGAGGGAGGGGGGTGCATCAAGGACAAAGGAGGAAAAGTCACCTTGGAAAAGCTCCTCTGCTGTCTCCTCTCCCCTCTCGGCTCTGTGGTCCTGCTCATGGCCCTAATCCTCAGAGTGGTCCACAGCATCAGTGTCCTTGTTTCATTTACCAGAGGACCCACCCCAGAGAATCCATGAGCCTTGTCGGTACCAACAGGGAGCGTGTGCTGCTGCGTGGGGTAGGCTGAGCTGAGAGAGCAGAAGTCACCACCCCTAGTTCGCCCAAAGAGGGTTCAGATGGGGCAGTGGCATGACATCAGAGAAGACCTGGGATTAGAAATTCTGAAGAGTGGAGGGGCTGGAACTGGAACAAGGCGGGGTGGGGAAGCCTAGAAGGATCCTGCGGGCCCTGCCCTGGGTTGGAAGGGTGCGTTCTTGAAACTGCAGCGCTCATGTGGAGAGGGGGACTCAACCCCTACATGCTTATGAGTCTCTCCAGCCAGAAGACCAGTGGGCGGGTCCCAGGCCTCCTCCCTTGCTCACTGCTCCTGAAGAACCCCCTTGGTTGGTTGCAGGATAACCCACCAAGCCCCCCCACCTCAGCTCGAGGACTCTCTAGGAGGGCCCAGGAAAGATACTACAGGGCTGCTGTACTAGGAAGAGCACTGGTCTTAGTATGCGTGTGGCCCACCGTCAGAAGTGGGACTCTGGTCCTTCCTCCGGTCCCCACCTGAAGTCAGAGGCCTCCCTGTGAGCTCACAGCTGGCTCTCCTGCCCTGCCACCTCCATTCTGAGCTGAGCCCAGATAGTCCATAAGGAAAGGTTTCTCAGAGCTGGGAACCTTACTTCTTCCCCCTCCAGTGGACCAGAGAGCCGGCAGCTGTGCTGGGTGAGGGCTCTGGAACGCAGCGCTCCTCTGGTCTGGCTTCTGTAGCTGGGTACCAGCGGATGAGGAGGGAGCTGGCAGTGCGTCAGAAATGCTGGTGGGTTGGCCTGGAAAGTACCAGGAAGCTCATATGCGCTCAAGCTGGAGGGGGTCCAGGAGCTTCCTGCTTCCTCTCGTTTGACAGATGAAGAAGGGTTTCCAGTAGCCGGTATAGTTGGTCTGAGCTTGCCATCCACACCGGACCCAGCATCCTGACCTTCAGACCAGGCCTCTTCCCCATGCCTGGCAACAGGGAGCTTGCAGCTGGACAGGGGTAGGACCTACCTTCAGAGCTTTAGGAGGGAGGCACCTGATAAAGGAACCCCCAGCTGGCCACCATTCGCTTTTTCTCCCCCTGCTGTTTCGTCAGGAGCCCAACTAAGGAAGCGCCGAGTCCTTGGGGGGCGCTCAGTATGGAAGCTGGCATCTGCCCCGAAAGTGGGGGCAGCCTCCGCACCTCGTGCCCCACACCACCGGGGGTCCTGGCCAAGGCTTTCCTCCCTGGGAGAGCCACCAGAAAGGGGCATTAAGGTAGTGCCTTGCCTGACTCCAGGCCAGGAGCTCTTTGCCCTTGGTATGGTGACAGCCATGGAGCCTCATTTCCCGCCCAAAAGTGCTTCCTGTCTGGGGGGAGGGTGAGAGGCCAGAGGATGCAGGGCTAACAAATCATCTTTAGGAAGGTTCTCCTTGCTGACCCTCATCCCAGTAGGAATCTCTTAATGCCTTCTTTGCTTGTTCTTGGTGTTCTTTTCCTCATTTCAGTGTCTAACACTGTCAGAAAAGGAAAAAAGCTGTTATTTGTTGTTTCGGCGCTGGCCAGGCAGCCTCATGGGCAGTCCTGGAAGGTGGCAGGGGGTCACCTGCCTCGAGCAGGCTTGGCCTACCTTTAAAGCATTGATGATATATGTGTGGCTCCAGCCTGCCAGCCCCACAGCCCGCCTTTCAGGATGTGGCTTCTCTCCGGCTCCCTCCTTGCCTCTAAAAATAACCTTGCTATTTTGGAACCATCTCCTCTGGAGCTTTTTCTCACTGCTCTCTTGGATCAGTAACCCCTGTGAGACCAGACTCTTGGCTGCCTCTGTCCTCCCAGCTGTCCTTACGGAGTTGCCCTCTTCCTGTCTCTCCCCCTTCCCCCAGTACCAGCTGGGATCTTGTTCTCCAGCTAGGAAGGAATGTCCAGCTGGGTGTCCTCGGAGAAGAGCAGGCCTGTCACCTCTCCTCCCTGGGATGGGTAGGGAGGAAGTGGGGCCATGAGGGTGGGGGCGAGGCAGAGCACCACCCTTTGCCTCTGTTGTAATTGGGGATCCACACAGCTGCAAGAGGTTCAGGTGCCTGTTGAAGGGACAAGGGCTGGGAGGGCCTGGGGATATGGGGACCGTCCATGCTGCCTTACTCTGACCCATGAGTGCTGGTCTCTGCGTAACTCCCTGCCCCGTCTTCTTCTTGCAGCCCACAACCCTGCCTCAGGGCACCATCAACATGAACCAGTGCACAGACGTGGTGGATGGGGAGGGCCGGACAGGCCAGAAGTTCTCCCTGTGCATTCTGACCCCTGAGAAGGAGCATTTCATCCGGGCAGAAACCAAGGAGATCATCAGTGGGTGAGTCTGCCCCAGGCATTTTGGAAGGAGGCACCCCTGCCTACCAGCAGGTTCTTGGACCAGTTCCTTTTGGCACAAATTGGGCAATATCGCCATCACTTTCTTCCCCAAGCGTGTCCCCTCTTCTGAGTCCCTCGCTCTCTTCACAGCGCCACATGTGCCCAGTCACCACACCAGAAACTGGCCTCACCCTCCACCTGTCTTGGTGTCATCCCCACATGCACATAACTCTACCCATGTCCCGTTTCCCTGGGGGCCTCCCTCTGCTGGCGCTGCCCCACTTCCACGGCTGCCTCGGCTTCCTTCAGCCTCTCATTGGTCTCCCCACCTCCATTCTCACCCCTCCACCCGTGTATCACTTGAGCACAAGGGTTTCAGTCCCCAGAGCCCATCTGACCTTGCCTCTCTCCTGCCTGAAGCCCCATCACCTGGGAGTCAAGTCCAAGTTCCTTGGCTGGCCTCAGGAGGCCCCTTCTCAGCCCTCCAGCCTCACTCCCACCACCCTTGTGTTCCTCAGCACTGAGCTGCTTGTCACCGCACATCCCCGTACTGCCCACCAGCTCCGTGCCTTCACTGCTACCCTGCCTTCAGTCTGGAATGACCCCTCCTTCCTTGAGGCTGTTAAAGTCAGCCTGAATGTCCACCCTTCCAGGAAACCTGCCCCCATGAGGCAGGCTCTTTGTGCTGGCTCTTTGTGTCTGGGTGCACATCTGGCCTCCTGTAGCCAGCAGTAGGTCCTTGAGGGTCGGGGGCTGTGTTTCATTCCTCGTTCTCAGGGCCTGCACACAGCAGTCACTCCAGTTCCGCTGTATGCACTGCCCTTCTTTGTCCAGGTAGAAAGAATAGACAGTCTCTGAGTCACACCCCTGCCCTGGCCATGCCCTGGTCGGAGGCTTAGGGGAAGCCCTGGGAGGTGGAAGGGGGCCCAAGTTTCCAGGTAGCTGACAGTCTGGGCGAGCAGAGCTCTGTGCTCCTGAGCTCATGCAGTGTGTGCCTTCCAGGAGTCCTTGCTCCTGGGGCGCCTGTTACCAGCTCTGTGTGACCTAGCCATACAGTCCGTGCGTCGTGAGCAGGCTCAGCAAGCCCGGCCAGGAGCTCAGGCGCTGGATCTTGGAGAATCCCATTGGTCCTTCAAGGCTGAGAACGCTTTGAGAGAAAGTGAATTGGGGAGTGGGGGATCGGAGCTAGGGATACTGGGCTGATTATTGTAGTGCAGAGTGGAGGGAACTAGAAGGTGAAGGCTTTTGGTTTCAACAAGTAAAAAGACTTGGAATACTGGCTGAGCTTCAGGATCTCAGGCCAAGGCTGCTCGCTGTATGAGGAAGCGGGAACAGTGGTCAGAAGGTCCCCAGGTTTTGCCGAGTTCAGAAGTTCAAATCCACTCTGTCAGGCTGGAGCCGAGGGCCAGAGCTGCCCTGCAGAGTGACCAGCGGACCCTCTGCTGGGGGTGCCAGCTCACCCTGAGTCCTTCTCCCTTGGAGAGAGGCAGGTTTGCATTTTTAACTCCTAGGGGCGAACAGCAGGACCACTTTGCCTCTCCCTCTCTCTGGTCTTAATTCTAGAACCATATGGTTTAGGAGCGTAGAGGGCTCAGGGAGCCTGGACGGCTCAGTCAGAAAAGCATAGGACTCTTGATTTCCGGAACATGGGTTCGAGCTCCACATTGGGTGTAGAGATTACTAAAAAATAAAACTTAAAAAAAATATAGAGAGGGCTTTTACAGAGCCCCTCATTCTACAGTTGGGAGACTGAAGCTATGGAAACGCGAGGACCTTGAACAAGGGACTGCAGGCATGAGGTACAGCACGGAACTGCTTGCTCCTCCTGGCTCATGCTTGCTGCTGCGGCCCTGTCTGGCAGGCACACCTGTACCGAGGTGCCACTGCCCTGCGGGAGTCCCTGGGGGAGAGCTAGCCCTCCCCTTGGGAGCTAGGTCTCATGGAGGATCCTGATTAGCACAAGGGATGGGAAGGGGTGTCCAGGGTTCCCAGGACAGGCTGGGGCATGTGTGAGCTGGGGGACCAGGTCAGTGATGTCATGGTCTGCCACATGGCATGAGGAAACTCACAGCTGACGGTGCCTCTGTCGGGTGGCCCAAATCCTACCATCAGGCACCTGCCACAGGCCAGGGGACCGCTTGTCCTGATCCCCTCTCCTAAGGTCACTGCACGTACAGAGGCGGGGGACTGCCTTTCCTGTGCAGCTTGAGTAGACAAGGTCATTGGTGGACCAAGATACCAGATGTGTGTGTTCTCTGGGTCCTGCATGTAGGCTGGGCCATCCAGGTTTGTGCGGTGGCTCAGGAGCATACCCGGCCCTTTCCCCCGTCCTCATCCTGGGGCTGGGCCTAGCTCATCCCTGCCCAGTAGGCAGGGTTTGCACCCTGACAACCTGTCCCTGGGCCCCTGCAGCCCCTCCAGTGGCCCCCGGCAGCAGCTTGTCTTCACCACCCACTGGTATACTAGGCCTCCTTTAGGGAGTCAGGTGGGGTAGTGTGCCCTGGGTACAGACGTCTGCCTCCATCTTCTCTCCCTCCTCTGCCTCGCGCCTTTGTGGACGGTTGCCTCCCTTGGTGTCCTCAGCACCTGGCACAGCTCCTTTGCCAGATAATCTTACCTGTGGGCTCTTAGACCCCGAGGTGGGGGTAAGTACCCAGCTCCCTAATGAGGTACAGACTTCCTCTGGGCTGACTTAGAGCAGGGGTAGTTGGGGACAGTCCATCCAGACTTCTTTCTGGAGTCTTTTCTGAACAGAGGCCTCCGGGCTGCCTGAGGCATCTCTCCCAGAGCTGGGCGGAGACAGTTGGCAGTTCTCTTTCTCAGCGCTCTCGTGCCAGGACGGGCCTTCAGGATGTTTGGGGCACAACTTAGCGCAGCTCCTTTAGAGGAGGTGGGATGTGTGCAGGAGTTGGCGGGGTGGGGGGGAAGCGCTTTCCCCCTCCTCTGTGCCCCTGCCTCTCAGTTCTGCCCCGCTCGGTCTCACTCATCCTGGCTCTGACGTCAGAGCTGGGGACCCCACTCCACCATGTCCTGGCACTCACTTCCACCACGGATCCCGTGTCCACATTCGCCCGTGGCCTCTTTTCCCTGGGCGTATTTTACATGGTAACACAACAAAATGACGTTATACACTTCCTGCTGGGCTTCCGTGAGAAATCCGAGTGCAGGGGACACATTCCGTCATCTGTCCCAGGCCAGCCCCAGCCCGCCCCTGCCTGTGCTCAGCCCCCGAGTCTCCAGCTGTCTTCGGGCTGGTGCAGGAGCTCGCCGAGCTCCGTTCAGTCAGCAGTGCAACGGCGGTGCAGATCTCTTCCCTCGGGGCCCTGTCCTGCAGGCCTGCCGCTTTGCCTGCTTGTCCGTGTCGCCACGAACAGCAGCACACAGCCATTGTGCACCTGCCTGTCACACTCCCCGTGCTCCTGGGGCCCCGGAGGACGAGGTGACTTTGTGAAGCAGTCTCTCCTCAGTAAAGCTCTAAGGGACCTTCTGCAGACACAGCTTGCTGGTGTCAGCCCCTGTTGCAGGCTGGAAAGCAAGTCTTTTAACTCCGCAAGCGTGTGAGTTCCTCAGATTATGTGAGTGAGGCCCTGAGGGTCTGCTCATCTGCCAGCCTTGCAGACACAGTCATGCCTCTTTTCTTGCTTTGGGGCCACAGAGGAGTGACCCACAGGACCTGGGCCTCGGGTCTCAGTGGTGCCGGCAGTGGTTCGTGCTCTCAGCAGGTACTGAATGACCTCAAAGCTGAGCGGGGCTCAGCCCACATGCTGTGATCCCCACACCCAAGCCCACTTCCCCAGCTGCCAGCTTGCAACAGCACAACCAGCATACCCTCTTGAGGCTGTCCTAGAAGGTCACTGACTGTGACTGACCTCCCTCCTTCCACCCCACATTAAAGAAGCACCTCTGAGAGTTGAAGACGTGAGCCCTCCCTCCCGACGCAGGCTTGAATGCTGGTGGTGTCCGCAGCCTCCAGCCAGGGTGCTGGCCGTGCAGGTTCTGCCCCACGTTGCAGCTCAGCCGCCGCCGCCAGGCCCAGGGTGGCAGCCGGCCCAGCACAGACCCTCATGTTCTGGGGAGAAGGGGACCAGAGGCTCCTGCAGTACCTTCCCCTCTGCAGAGAGCATCCTTCCCCACCAGGCCCCTCCTGTCTTGCACTCCTCCTGTCCCCCTCATCCAACCCTCCCAGATGTTAATGAAGCTTGAGTGAGGCAAGCAGTGGACATGTCATGGCTTCATCTGCCCCCTGGTTTCAGAGATGAGGAGACTGAAGCCCACAGGGGCAGGAAGCCACCCAGGGTCGTGGATAGAGGGTGGCAGAGCCGGGTGGCAGAGCCAGATCTGTATCAGGCCTCCTGCCGTCAGCTGCTGCTCTTCCCATGCTCCCCTACTGCCTTCCCTGCTCCTGGTCTGGAGTGGACCTTCCAACATGTGGGCCTTGGAGTGGGTCCCTGGGCAGCTCTGCTGGGCCTTCCCCAAAGCCAAGGTGCCCAGAGCCCTCAGTGTGCAGGTGGGGCCCAGAGGTGAATGAATAGGTCTAGCTCCGGAAGTGACCCGTCACAGAGAACTTTGGTAGCACAACTGCTGGTTTCCTGCCTCCAGAGCCCTAAATGATACCCAGTAGCAGCCCATCTGTGCATTAGCCAAATCTACCATGGGAGAACAATTTTAAAGCCAGGTCTAAGCCCTGAAGTTGGGGTCAGTGATGGAAACCATGATGTGCTCTGCACTCTGAGGCCTGTGGTCAGGCCCGCCACTCCAGCAGAGTGAAGCACTCTGCATGCCTGGGCCGGCCACAGGGCCCTCTCCACCTGCACTACGGTCATTGTGGGGTCAGCATCTGGGCCTGCTCCCAGCACAGCCTGTGCTTGTCCTGGGCTGCACTGTTGGCACTTCCCCAGCGGTGGCAGTCTCAAGTCTGGGTCATGCTCTGCCCTGCTCAGCTACCCAGAGACCTGGCCACTTGGTGGGCGCCCCCAAGTAGGAAGCATTGGGCCTGGAGCCTAGACCACCCAATAAGGATCCTAGTCCCTGAGCACAGAGGTCTGATCCAGTGCTCTCTCCTCTTCTCTCCCCAGATGGCTAGAGATGCTTATGGTCTATCCCAGGACCAATAAGCAGAACCAAAAGAAGAAGCGGAAGGTGGAGCCTCCCACACCACAGGTAAGCAAAGTGGTGTCCCATCAGTGGAGCTGGGATGAAGTGAGAGCTCCCCAGAAGGTTAGAAGACTTCAGAACCCAGCCTAAAATTAGGGGTGAGAAAAAGAATACAGATGGGGCTGAAGTGGTCATCAGCCCTGCATGGTCTCTCCTTCCCTCCAGCGGTCTGTGGGCTATAACCTGCATGCTCGTCTCCAAGCCACAGGGCAGGACCCTCCACAGGATAGGGTGGCTTTACTCATATGCTCTGGGGCCGCCCCAGGAGGTTTCCAGTGAGTGAGCCGGCGCCCAGCAGTGGTATTCCAGCATGTGTCCCTTCCCTGGCTGTCCTGCTAGCTGCTGGGGAGCAAAGGGCATGCTTGGAGGGGCTGCTTGTGTACATGCATAGCTTTGTGCAGGCAGGGAGGGTTCTAGCGTGTCCTGGCTGAGTGAGGAGCTCTCAGCGGATCCTGTTCCTGCTCCAGGTTTGACCATAAATGGAAAAAACGGGCAAGACCTTGACTTTTGTGCCCCTGCCCTAACTCCCATTTGACCAGAGTTGAGAGGTGGCTTGGATAGGTCCCACCAGGTCCAGTCCTTCCCCAAAGGCCACTCTCCTACTCGTCTGCGGGGACACGGGGCACCCAGAAGGGCTCTGCGCCTTCCTGCCATGCTCCTCATGCTCCTGGGGCCCTGGTGGATTGAATTAACATTTCTGAGCCTCCTTGAACTGCTTTACAGAATGGGCCTTACAGAATAACAGCGTTTAGAGTAGTTCTGCGTTTCTATAGTGATGCCTTGGAAGCAGTGCTGGAGCCGAGCTCCTGCCTCCAAATCAGGCAAGCGCATGTGCAGTAGACACGTTTTGGGATCTAGTTACAGGATTATTGTGGACATGGAAGGAAGCACCGAGCCCTTGATGGGTGCTCAGCAAGTGCTCCTCTCTGTTCCAAACTTCAGTGTTACCAAGTGCTTTGCCTTGCCTGATTGAAGCTCACAGCAACTCCAAGAGTGAGCGGGATGGGAATCGGGGTCCCTTGGGCACCTTGCAAGGCCCAGAGTCTGGCAGGGAGCTAGCCCATGACAGAACCTTAGCGCCCCCCCCCTGGGGCTCAGCAGTCCTTACTTGCAGCTCTCTGCTTCACCGAGTGGTAGAGGTCTGCCTGGGCAGGACTGGGAGGTGTGTGCTGGCCTGGGTACCCACGCCCACCCCCCCCCCCCCGCCACTGCCGCCCTGCCTCACCCCCCACAGGCCCTGATGGAGTGCAGCCCTGGGCCTGCTCTCAGCTGATGGTCATTGTTTGCCCTCTGTCCACCCTCCCCAAGGGGAGCCTCAGGCCAGCATCCCCTGGAAAGTAGTGTATCTGGCAAGAAGTCAGCAAAATGCAATCAGAGACCTTCCTGGAGACTGAAAGTAGGGCTTCCTGCTGGCGAACTGCTGATATACACACAAATCCCCCAACGCTGCCCAGTTTGAGAGAAAAATCCCAGGCAGAATAACAGCGTTTAGGCTAGTTCTGCATTTCTATAGTGATGCCTTGGAAGCAGTGCTGGAGCAGAGCTCCTGCCTCCAAATCAGGCAAATGCATGTGCAGTAGACACGTTCAGCCCAGACCAGGGCATTTGGTTGTGTCCTTCCTGCCTGCCCTCCCCCCTCCCTCCAGATACTGCTGGCCATGGCCGAGCTTCACTGCTTCACAGGATCACAGGGTGGGGAGATCACCCACTTCTCTGAGGGTCTCTCAGAGTCCAGGTGTCCCCGCCTGCTCTGCTCTTTCCTTCTGTGCCCGGCAGAAGTCAGCCTGGCAGGACTCTCTTCCTTCTGTCCCTTGCTCCCAAGAACATCACATTTGATTCCACTGGTTTCTGGAAGCTGTGAACTTTCATCTGGGGCCCCATCTCCCTGTGACTCAGTCTCATGAGGTCATGCAGGGTCTCTCCAGAGAGGAGTGGGGGATCTCTGGGCAGGCCTCCCTTCCACAGCCTGACGCTGAAGGTGTTTGGGTGCCCCAAATGGAGCAGGGAGGGAAACCAAAAGCCTTCGGGGCCCCTGTAGAGGCAGGAACCCAAGACCCTGTATCTGGCCTCATTCTTCTGTGGCCGGAGAGAGTCTCAGATAAAACCAGCGGGGATTGGGAAGTATTGCTGTGCTGTACCCTGCCCTCCGGCAACTCAGGCAGCAGAGCCCACAGGGTCCCACTCGGACAAGGATGTCTCCAGCAGTTGGGAGTTCCGGCCGTGGAGAGTACAGTCATTGAGTGGTTTTCCGAGAGCATCAGAGAGAGACCCAAGCAGGCCCTGAGGGAGGAAGCGGATCAGGCTGCAGGGTGAGCAGATAGCCTCTAGGCTGGCGGCTGGGGTCCCAGCAGAGACCAAGGCAGCAAGGAGACGGGCTGGCCCTGGCCAGGACCTCTGAGGCCTGAGAGGTGTGGGTTCCAGGAGCTGCTGTTTAGCCCCTGTTCACCCCAAGAGGAAGGACTTTTCCTGATACTGAGATGCCTAGAGAGAAGGAGTAATATCCACTCTGGATATGACTAGGATAGGAAGGATGGAGATCTTACCACCCTCTCCCCAAATCCCAAACCTGGGACTCTGGCAAGGCCAGGGGTCGCGTGTCTCCCCTGCCAGGTGTGTGGGTTGGGAGGCTTGGTTCATTAGGTGGAGCTCTGGAATGCTGGTTCCTCCTGTCTCCCCAAGCCCCCAGGCTCTTGGCCCTTACTTCTCAGCCTTTCTTCAGAGACCTGTAAAACAGCAGACCTCAGTGTGAGCAGAGGCATGCCAGGACCAATGTCCCTCCTGGTCCAGTATACTGTTCCTCTCAGGCCCACACGTGTGTCATGAGTTTCTCCCTCTTCTCCAGCGTCATGTTTTCTGCTTGGGTGCCTGCTGCTACACCCACTCCAGGTCCTGTCCCTCCTTCTCGTGGGGCCCCTGCTCAGCTACTATGCCCGGGAAGTAGAAAGGAAGGCTTTCTATAAACCCCCTCTAGAGAGCATGCCTGCTTAGCTAGCATGCAGAGGCTGCAGCGGCCGGTTGGCCCGGGCCTGCCTTCCTGCCCTGTGTCCTCTTTCCTCCCTGCTTTGAAAACCCTTTCTGAGCAACCAGATAAATAGCACAGACCTCATCATAGCATGGAAGCATTGATTGCCCTGAGCAGTGCAGGTATCCCGACCCTGCAGGGACTAGCACATAGGGGACCTGGCACTTCTTCCTCCTTCCTCTCCCGTGGGCACCCGTGGTCTGTGTCGTTGTGAACCCCAGCCACAGCGGTGACAGTGTGGGGAGCAGAGGCAGTGTCGCATAGTGCCTGTGCCAAGTCTTACTCACCACACATCTGCTTTGGAGAAGAGAAGCAACTTTACCCAGAGATCAGACTTCCCTGTATCACCCACCCACCCCCTCTCCTGGAAGCCAGCGTGCCTTTGTTCCTGCCGCCGGACTGCCCCTCTGTCTCCACTCACGCGATAAGGCCTGGCATAGAGGCGGTAGAAGGCAGAGCCTCCAAAGGAGGCAAAGAGAACTGCCTATGGACCTTGGCTGCCATTCAGGGCCCTCATTCTCTGGGAAAAGTTCTCCAGAAGTAGGGAGCACGGAGAGGGATCTGCGGATGCAGCCAAGCCTGCACAGGTTGGGAGGCCCAGGGCCAGATGGTGGGTCTGTAGCCATGTGCTGCTGAGAAATGTATTTGTTTCCCAAGCTCCCTGTCATGGCCCCTTGGATCTCAGGCCTAGAATTTCCTCTGCCTCTTGGGGATCCCTGCCAGCCCACCCCCTCACCGTGGGAGTCATCCAAGCACCAGAGAGGGGTGTGCATATGCCGTGGGCACTTCATCCACAGCGTGGGGCTGAGAGCTCTGGCAGCCAAGGCTGCTCCCCTCCGAAGCACAGCCACCTGCCTCTTCTTCTTTGGCCCTTTCTGGCAACCTCTACCTGCCCTTGGTGCAGCCAGTTTTCCACAGAGGGGACAGATTCACCAAGGCCAGTCTTTACGTCACCCCACTCAGCTCTGTAGGAGGAATCCCAGCTCTGCCCTGAGCCCACCAGAGTATGCCCGGTCTCTGGCTTCTGGCCTTTGAACAGAAGACTCAGTTGTTGGAAGGGGCCATGGCAGGGGGACCTGGAGTGACTTCTGCTTGAGGGAAGCATTCCTGGGACATGGATTGAGGGCAGTATACTGACTGGGGGGACAGGTGGCCCTGGGGCCGGCTCTCCTTAGATCATTAGAGCCTGGTTCTGTTGGAGCCCTCAGGAAACTGTCTGAAACCATTGCCATTTTATTCCAAGAAGTCCCCTTCTCACAAGGTGGGTCAGAGCTGTAGGGAATCTCCAGCCTGGGAGCCAGGTCTGTTGGTGGCTCTGACCATATGGGCAGTCGGGTGTGTCCTGGGTCTGTGGGAAGAGCCTTCCTGTCTTTAGCCCGTCTCATGAGGCCTGGACTCCTTGCAAAGCTCAAGAAAGCTTTGGACCTGGTAAAATGCCTGTCTTTTCCCATTGGGATACCTGGTGCTGTGGCTTCTCAGTGGGTCCTTTAGGCTGCCCATCCAAAGCACTCCCCCACCCTCCTGCCACTCCCGAGGGTGCCTGGTGGTGGAAGGCTTGAACCCCCACTCTGGCCCTTACTGTCCTTGTGAGCCTGGGAACACGGTCCTCTCAGCCCAGGCAACCTCCCCTGCGAGGTGTGCTGGGGAGGACAGGATGGTGCAGTGATGAACCAGAGCCCAGCACATAGTCCGTGCTCAGTGGCTGTCAGAGAACCTGCTGGTTAATACTGGGTCTGTGTGCATGTATGCACGGACACATAACCCATGTCATCTATGAGCCTTGCCAATGGCCCCAGCTCAGAATTGGGTTTCGGTAGGTTTCTAAAAATGAGGTTGGGGGCGCCTAGGTGGCTCAGTTAGTTGAGCGACTGCCTTCGGCTCAGGTCATGATCCTGGAGTTCCAGGATCGAGTCCCGCATCGGGCTCCCTGCTCAGCGGGGAGTCTGCTTCTCCCTCTGACCCTCCCTCCTCTCATGTGCTCTCTCTCTCTCTCAAATAAATAAATAAAATCTTTAAAAAGAAAATAAAAATGAGGTTGGGCCACCAGGATGGGAGTGGAAGGTGGCGTTTGTATGTCATCCCCCATGTTTTGGGGAAGACAGCTAGGACGTGTCTGACTTTTGAGAGGCTCCAGTGCCCTCTGCAGCTGGCACCCAGGACCTTGGGCCAGGCAGGGGGCTTGGGCCCAGGGTGTGAGCTAGTGCTGTGGGGCGGCTGGGGATCCCAGTCCTGTCTTTGTCTGGGCTCTAGGTTTGAGCTGTTGAGCGAAGGTGTTCTGCATGCTCTGGAAATGAACTGCCTGTATCTAAGTACCTCCTGCTTGAATGCTTCTCCCACAGAGCAGCACCAGTTCTGATCTGGGGAGAGATGGCATGGACACTGTTCCCATCTGGGCTACAAGCTGCGGTCTAGTTTGCGTCGGGGAGCAGGTGGGAGGGCATGAGTGCAGATTGGATGTTTGCGTTGTATCTGATGACTCTTTCCTTCACGTAGGGTCCCAGGTGTCCCATTTTAGCTTTCTAGGGCCAAAAGGGAGAGGCTGGGGAGGCCAAGGGCTGGCCCGGACACGGGTGCTGTATGAGCACATGCTTTGCATTTACGCCGCAGGCCATCTCAATGGTGTATTCTTTCCTTACCCCGTGCCATCTTTCCTGACTCGTGTCCTAATTACCTACAAGTCTAGGAATGACAGACTCTGAGCCAGCCACTTGTCATCTCACCTTTAATGCCTGGTCCACTGCTCTGGGCTCTGTGGTTTTGTCGGCAGGGAGAACTTGCATGTGTTTGGTACTGGAGCTCCAAGCAGAAACCCTACGTTTTTGCCCTGTGTATTTGCCAGCCCTGGCCTGAGGCCAGTGGGACCAGGCCTTTTGGGTGTACTGACTGGGGCCGTAGAAGAGAAAAGGCCACAGTGCCATCCAGGTGGAGCTTTCACCCTAACCAAGATGTCTCTGTTCTGAGCCTCCCCTCCCGGGGGTTCTGGGCCACTGACATGGTGCAGTTGACCTTGGCGTCCCCTGGAGCCAGGCACCTAGGCAGCCGGGACCTGTGTACCAGCCAAGGCTGTGCACTCCTGGGCTGCGCATACACCGCTCTCTCCCCCCAGGAACCAGGGCCGGCCAAGATGGCTGTCACCAGCAGCAGCAGCATTCCCAGTGCTGAGAAGGTCCCCACCACCAAGTCTACACTCTGGCAGGAAGAAATGAGGGCCAAGGACCAGCCTGATGGGAGCAGCCTCAGTCCAGCTCAGAGTCCCAGCCAGAGCCAGCCTCCTGCTGCCAGCACCCTGAGGGAACCTGGGCTGGAGAGCAAAGATGGTAAGTGGGAGCCAGACTGGCTTGCATGCCCCCCTTTCTGGTGGCCGGCCTCACAGTGCTGGAATAGGCCTCCATCCCAATGCAGCTGGCCCTGAGTCAGACTCAGGGATGCTGGGCCCCAGGCCTCAGGCTCCTGTGTCCATCAGCCCTTGGCAGGGCCTGGCCTGAGTGGGGCTGGGATTCCTGGGCTCTGGCCTTGGCCTTGCCCTTCTGGCTCTTAAGTCCCTTCCGTGAAGGAGGAAGAGAGCACCTGCTCTGTCAGCCCTGGTGGGTGTTGTGAGACTCAAAATGCCCCGGAATGAGGTCTGTGTACCAGGAGGCCTCCGGTTCCTGCCACCGTGGCTGCACTGTGTTCATGGCCTGGCTAGCCCGGGACGCCCAGCATGTCCTGGGAGCAGCAGTGGTTAGGGCGCCCTCGGCCTCCTTGCTGTCCCATCCTGTCCAGCCCCGGCGGGGCTCCGGAGGCTTTGCTCTGCTCTCTCCACTTAGCACTAAAGAATTGCCTGAGCAGAAGCAGGGCAGCAGTCTTCACCTCCCCGCTCGGGGCCCCAGACGGCTCTGCATGACATAATCTGGCTTTTCCCACTTGCATTTTGTCCAGCTCATTAAAGACGAGGGGACAGTTGGGACTGACCCAGTTCATTCAGGCCAGAATGCATTTTGCAGCAGCTGGGGGTTAGGCTGCCTCAGTCCTTCGTGGGTAGTCCCCACGCACCCCTCTCGTTCCCGCAGAAGTCCTCTGCCTCTTCCCTCCCCAAATGCACTAACAGGCTGACCAGCCAGTTAGCCCTTGATTTCCTCCTTGATGTTTGATAAGAAGCGGTGGTCGGTGGGACATCTCTCCTGGGCGGGGGATCCTGTTCTCCCAAACTGGCCCCCAGACTGGAAGCTCAGGGACCTCCTGACAGTGTAGCAGATGCACCAACTTAGAGAGAGATGGATGAGGTGCGTGTGTGGGAAGGACATTTCATTGCTGTCCCGTGATTCTGCCCTTGGGTGAGCCCTGTATGGATGGCTTCAGAGATGGGAGGTAGAGAGATGGCCCCTCTCTCTGTGGATCTGTGTGGGCTCTTTAAAAAGTCCCCAGAAACCAAAGATGGCAACAGGCTAAGTGCGTCTCCTGCCTCTCGCCTCTCTCTTCCAGAGGAGGGCACCATGAGCAGCGACCGCATGGACTGTGGCCGCAAAGTCCGAGTAGAGAGCGGCTACTTCTCCCTGGAGAAGACCAAGCAGGACTTGAAGGCCGAGGAGCAGCAGCTGCCCCCGCCGCTCTCCCCTCCCAGCCCCAGCACCCCCAGCAACAGGTATAGTGGCCCCGGACCGCCCTCCCAGGAGCTTGGTCATCCCCTTCCTTCCCCAGGTTCTCGAACCCCCAGCCGAATGGTCTGCAGCAGCTCCCTTGGCTCCCTGGACATGGCCAGCCGGCCCCCCGCCCGCATGGACTCCGGCAGCGCTGGGGGGCGGGGAGCAGAGAGACCGGGGCGCACCTTTGCCTTTAAAGCCAGCAGGCAGTATGCCGCCCTGGCCGACATCCCTAAGGCCGTCAGGATCAGCCACCGAGAAGCCTTCCAGGTGGAGAGAAGGCGGCTGGAGCGTAGGACTCGGGCCCGGAGCCCTGGCAGGGAAGAGGTGGCCCGTCTGTTTGGCAACGAGAGGAGGTAAGGAGGGGGTTACAGGGCCACACGTGCCACGGACACACTCCCCCGCCTTTACAAAGTCTCTCGTGTACACGCCTATTCTCCCTTACACATACACACTCACACTCTGTGTTCTTGTACTTTTTACACTCTTACAGTGCTTTTTACACTCTTCCCAGAAACACACACACTTTGACATACACATTTCCACATTCCCTAAGCCTTCCTCGGGGGAGCACACTTGTCCTCCCTTCCTGTTCAGAGCATGTGCGGAAGCTTTCCCTTTTGACCCTGGACTCTGGTCACGCAACTCGCAGCCCCTGGTAGCCAGAAACGTAGCATCTCGGGACTCTCAAGACACCTAGGCCAGAGGCCAGCTGCTTCCTGTGAGTGCCTCCTGGCCCTGAGACCTTAAGGGCCCCCGGGCATGTTCTCAGCCACCTGGGCCTTGTGTAGCTGGATCTTTTCCTCCTGGCCCATCTCTGTCCTCTGAGATGACCATGGGGGCAGGAAGAGCCTGGAGAAGCGGATGGTGGCAGAAGCTCCCCTTGCCCTTCCAGTCTTAGGCATGGGTGAAGGGCATGGAAGGTGGTGGGGTGGGCGGCACAGGGAAGCCGGGCAGCCTGTGACGCTCCTGGGCGCCCTGAAGCATCACTGCATCCAGGCTTGGCTGGAATGTGAGATGGGGAGGCTGACAGAACCACAGCTTCCTGGAGAGACACAGGGTTGAGAGAGGAAACCTAGGGCAGGGACTGGGACAGAGGTGTAGAACTCATCTGTGGCCTGAAGAGAGGAGGGCTCTGCCCTCCCTTCTGGCTCCACTGGCCCTGTGCTTCCCGGAGAGCCGGGGACAGAGCTGGTTTCCATCTCTGAGGCCCTGGCCTGGACCACAGCACTCGAGTGCCCCCTTCTTCTAGGAGCTTCCGTCCACGTCTGTAAATGGAGCCTTTGCCCCGACAACAGGGTTCTTACCCAGGTCCAGGGGTGAACTGCCTAAGGTCCATGAATCCCTCTAAATGATTCGAGAGTCCATGTGTACGTTTTTCTGAGAAAAGAAAAACCATAGTTTTCATTAGATTCCCAAAGAAATTCACTTTTTGGAAAAAAAGATTCAGACCTAAATTCCAAAAGCATTCCCAGAGTGTCCTCTCCACCCTGCCAAAGCCTAGGTAAAGCTCAGAGTTGGGGCATTGTGTGGGGACGGGGCAGGGGGGCGACAGGCTTCCCCTTTCGAGGGGCCACCTGCGAGCAGGATGCCTTTCCTTAATACACACCTGCTCTCCTAAAGCCCCAGGTGGAAAGGACCTGTGCACTTGGGGTCCACCTCCAGAATAAGGAGGAGCTGCCCAGAGTTGTTGATCTTAAGAAGAGAACAGATGTGCCCGATTCCTAGGCAGAGGGAGAGGGAAGCTGACCTAGTGCCTGGGAGGTGACCTCCAAGCACTTCGCTGTCTTCTTGTTTGGTCAGTAACCCCGAGAGCGCCTGTGTCACATCCCAGTGTGTGGATGCGGAGATGGGGCCTCAGAAGCAGGGAGACTCCTCGAGGCAACAGCCTGGTGCAGCAGAGCCAGGACGCACCTCCCCGCTGGGCCTTTTACTGGGAAGACCCCACTCCCATGATGTGACCCAGGAGGGGGCCAAGGCTGTCCTTTAAGCAACTACGTAAATAGATGAGTGGAGGGACTTGCCAGAGACTTAGAAGGCCTGTGGGCCAGGGCAGGGGAGGCTTCACACTGGCTGGCGGGCAGGCGATGGGTCCTGGAGGCTCCTGGGTGGGCAACTAGGCCCTGGTGTAGCGGCAGACCAAAGAATTAACATTCAGCGCACCTGCTTGGCTTCAAACTTGTTCTTGTCTAGTCGCCTGGGGTAGATGGCATCTCCGGGGCTTTACTTTCTGCATGCTCCTCGCCACCACAGAGATGGGTTTTCACCGGGTCCTGGCACCCCTGGAGCCCACCAGCTCTGCATCCTAACATTGTAATGTCACTTTCTTACCCTAATGACATCTGACTGGCTGCTGTCACTTTGCGAGGCCTGCACCCTGCTCCCAAGTAGCCCTCCCTGTGCGTGATTGGAGTCCCGGATCCTGGTCGAATAGAGCAGAGGCCCGTATTGGCAGGACATCTGCCGCGGCTATCCGGAGTGGCAGCCGAGCCAGGCCTACCCAGGAGCCAGGCTGGGGGGACAGTGGGGGCGGTCTTCTGACAAGGAAGCCTTTATGGGCCAATTCGCTCCGCTCTTGACATTTGCTCCAGAGCTTTTAGGATGTTTCTTGGGTGCTGAGTCACAGCTGAACCAGCCTGGGGAGGCCATGGCCCTTGTTGAGTTCCTGGTGACTGACACCACGACCGGCTCTTGTGCGGTCCTCACAGCCCCTCGGCTGGGAACCTGGGGAGATGAGGCGGGGCAGCAGTGCAGGTGCCTCCTTTCTGTGCCGTCCGCCAGCCCAGGGAGCCATTTGCGGCCACACCCGCAGTACCTCAAGGGAGCCAGTATACAGACTGCTCACTTCACTTTGCAAACTAAGTGGGCTGACCGGCCCAATTTGCTTTCCTCATTGGACTCCTCTCTTGGCAGCCCTGGCAGGCCTGCAGCATGCGAGTCGCATGGGACTCGGTGGAGTGCTGTTCCACATGGCCTTCCTGCGGCCTTCTAGGCCCCAGGGTCAGTTGGAGGGGCTCTCATTCTGCAAGTGATGGTGCCTCGGTCTGTACGTGGGCCTGGAACCGTCCCCAAATCCTCTGGGATGGTGGGGCACACGGCGTCATCCGCCTGAGCAGGCTGAGTGCTGACGAGAGCTTCCTGTGGTTCCCTGAGCTTCCCGCGCTCACCACGCACACCCTCTGCTGCGGCTGCACTCCCTCAGCCTAACCGCGGGTTGGCCTGGGAACAAGCTCTGTTCCTGGAGAAGATTCTGTAGAAGCTTAGAGCCCCAGAGCTCCTGTTTTGTGTGTAAGCACGGAGATGAGCAGGGGGCCCAGCAGCCCTAAGACTTCTACCCTTGGTCTTTGGCCTTCTTTGATGAAGAAACCCTAAGATCCGTTTTTACTAGTAACCTTTCCTGAGTAAAAGCTAGTCTCTTGGCAGGGTCTCAGGATTTGAGCCCATTTCCTCTTTTTCCTTATAGAGTTAGATATCAGTCTTCAGTTAGATTCTAATCTTTTGGGCTCAGAGGCCCTTCACTTGCTTCCCGTTGACTCTGAATGCAAGTAAAACCCTTCCTGTGAGGTGACCTTGGGGCGCTTGCCTGGGTGTCCCTGGGAGGACAGGCCTCTGGTTTGGTAACATGTTAATGTTGTAAAAACAAAAAACAAAAAAAATTCAACTGAGTAAATTCTGAACATCTTATTGGCTTTATTCAACAATTCATGAATCAGGCAGCATCCCATCTATCAAATAGAAAGGAGCCCTGAAGACCTGTACAGAAATAAAGGACTTTTATAGGCAGGAGGGGGCAGAACAAGGAAGTTAACAGTAGCAAAGAGAGCATTGTTTCGGTCAAGGTCACCTTCCTTTGAGGGACTGCAGAGGTCTGTCAGGTAGATTACCCCACTGGTGCTGACTAGGTAATTCCGAATTGACTAGTTTAAGATTCCACTCCTGGGAGAGGTTGAAACTCTAAGTAAGTTAGGTATTAACCACCATTTGGTGACCTGGGCTTAGCACAGTTGACTCTATTCTGAGCTTGTTGTCTTTTTTTTTTTTTTTTAAGCAATTCCCTCCAACCCCCCCCCAACTTTCTTTAAAGTTTATTTATTTACTTATTTACTTAAGTAATCTCTACCCTGAGAGATTAATGCGGATCTCAAACTCATGACCCTGAGATCAGGAGTGGCACGTTCCTCTGACTGAACCAGGCATGCACCCCACAATTCCCCCCCTTTTGTTCAGATTTTCAGCTTAACTGAGTGGTGTGATCAAAATTTAAGACCTTAGCACCACTCCCAGCTACTGCTCAAATTCTTGCAGTTTTTTGCTCTGTGGTATTCACAGGTCATGAAGGTTTTTTGCGGATTCTCTGTGGTACTCAGGTCACAATTTCAGGTTCACATTTGTTTTAAGTCAGTTATTCTCTTCATTCCTTTCTGATGTTCCAGTCTTAAGGAGATCATTTGCTTTGTGGTTAGCGGCTGCAAACTTGTGTTTAAGAGAATATAGTACATGAAGGAGACTACTATGGTTATTTTAAGCAGGATAATTCCCAATGTCTGGAGTGCATTTTGGATCCACGGTCTGCAAGACCCAAATCAATCAAAATCAAATAACTCAGAGAAAGACCTCCACTGAAGGAGTCACTTTTTTTTTTTTTAAGTGAAGTGGCTTTTTCAGGGATTTTTATGTAGCTGAGTTTCAACTTTCCCAGAGGTATTAATCTGGGTGCGGTAAGTGGCCCTGACCACAGCACAGACATTTCCTTGTTTAGCTGCAGAATAATCAGGGGACAGCCTATTTGAAGAACAACTTTGGCCTGGCAGAGATGGGAACTGCTGGTGAGATCTTTTTATAATTGGGGCAGATCTGATTTAGGTAATCACAAGAACAATGGGAATACAAATGTACTACAATCTGCTTAGGAATTTGTGTCCATTTGGGCAGGTACAGTTGTAATCATAGAGAGATGGAAACAAGGCACTGGATGTTCTGGCTGTAAAAGTCAGATTGTGTA